TAAAGATGGTCTGGATATGTGCATTAATGATGTTGAATCATTACCTAATCCGAATGGCTTTTTGAGATGGTGACTGACTGGTTGAGTAAGGCTTCGACTTAGAAATATTATTCACAAGGTGGCAGTCTAGCGTACTAAGGATGATTCCGATTATTATGCTATAGTACATCCACGTTCTCACGTTCTACTATGTGCTAACTCTGTACACGGTCTACGATGAACCTCATTGTATTAAGAAGCACGAGCGAAAACTTGAAAAGATGTATTGTTAACCAAATCGTATTTCAAAAAGCGCGAGGTGAACGAAAAAGTGCGTAACCGCGTAAAATATATGTATAACAAACGAAAAGCGATATTTTTGGTTGCACACTAGTCAGTAACTAGTGTAATGCGTCTAGTCCTATCTTCGCTGCAGACTGAATTCTATCAGTCAAGCTTGCAGTGTGGCCACCATGCTAGGTGGCTCACCATTACGGTGCACTGTGAATTGTTGGTATTAGATGGTAATAGATGCCGATTGCCTCCAACCATCTAATACCAAAAGCGATATTCAATAATACAATGGCAAACATTCAACAAGCATAAGTAAAATTAGTTTGTGTAAGCGTATTACATGCGCACATGAAATAGTTTTATGAGTGTACAGTTAGGCTTAATATAGGGGTGCTACAGCAGCACCAGTTCCAATCGCTACATTTTATAAGCTCTCAAAGGTAGAGAAAAAGCAGGACATCTTAGGTATTGTAACGAAACGAAATTTATGGGAACAGGAATAAATACTTGGAGAATAATAAAAAATTGATACTTCTAGGAGTTCTTAAGCTGTGAATGCATCTGCGCCATTCACAGCGATCTTGAGCAGTATAACCAGCAGTCTCAAGCCTTTGATCCCCTGCATCTAGAGGACCTTAGCCTGTAAATCTATGGCTTTCTGGTTGTATCTCATTAAAAGTCAAATACTTTATGAATTGATCCCATGCTTGAATTTGACCACTCCCAAATCTGCTTTCCTTTACCAGCTAACTTTGCTCGATGAAGATGGTGGTGATATTATTGAGTTGTTGAGTCATAGAAAGTAATTAACTATGTAACGACAGAAGACAAGGGCCAGGCAACAGAATGTTTATTGAGAAAATCAAGAGATATTTATAGATTTGTATGTACATTATTACTAGCGTTATTGTTAGCAGGGAAGCAACGTCTTCCGATTGGTTGTTTTCTTTCCGAAGGTTATTCTGTACTGCTTGGGACTGTTTCTCAGAAAGTTAAGCCATATATCTGCGAATCGTATTTGTGATTGGTTGTTGAGTTCCCCAAGGTTAGGCTTTATTCTTGTTTTTTCTCATGACCCCGATTCGAGACGTAGACATTGACGTAAATTGTTGTCTACAATTTTCGCTTGTGGACAGCCCCTACCACAACTAGATATGAAGTATGCAGTGCTTAGCCTCAAATATTCAAAGAACTGAAGACATTCCGATCGAGATTTATAAGACAATGAAAAGCCGATAGTTAAAAAATGCAGTTAGTACGACTCAAAATTTCATTGGTGCAGATTCACTAATATCGTGCGTTCTTAATCGTATTGTTGTTTTTAAACTTTTTAACTGAGTGGTTTGCAATATTACTAACTCAGTTTATTTCTTTCTACTGTCGCCAACTTCCTCTTATATGTATTGATCTTTAATTCATTAGTTTAGTCATTGCCAACTGATGGCTGTATGCTCAGGTATCCCAGTATTAGTTCTATAATAATTACTGTTGTTCATTCCCTGAGTTCCTGGTGAACCGTATGATTTCATACCTACATCCCTACTCCACTCACTTCTCATTTGAGAAGTCCACTATCGATCCTGGCTTTTGTTGTCATACAATTGTCCCTTCACCAAATGTCCAGTCGATTTACATTTCCTTCTGTATATTTGATGGTTAGATAATAAGATGACAGGATGTCACCATGAGCTGACATCGGTTAGAGAACCGTTGGAAACCCTGGGAGTACTGGATAGCTGTTTCGTCCTAGTTCGAGACTCTTCATTGGCATGCACTCACCTGGGTTCAAACCCAGGATCTTCTGATTACAAGGAGAGTTGGTAGACTATTAAGCCACTGGAACCCGATCCAATGGCCAGCGCATGAATTCCAGCTTCTGCCAATTCACGACTAAGTCCCTATTTGAGGAAGAACTAGCTAAACACATATCTGAGTTCGACAGCTGCGCTCACCCTGAAGAAGCCTGGAAGAATATTCAGTCAGCCATAGATACAGCTGTAAAAGCTGTGAATAAGGTAAATCCAAAGGTGAGTAAAAACCATTGGATTTCGACTGCCTCATACGAACTGATAGATGCTAGAAGACTTATTCCGGCGAGCTCTGAATTCAATGAGGAGCGAAAGCTGCACAAAAGGAAACTTACGAAAAGTCTCCGCAAGGACCGTGAACACTGGTGGTTGACAAAGGTGAAAGAGATGGAAAAAGCATCGGCGATAGGCAACAGTAGGCAACTCTTTAGACTCACCAGGGAAACGGGTGGGAGAAGGCAAATCATAAGTGAGACTATTTCTGAGAAAAATGGCTCCTTAATTAGCTCTCAGGATAGACGCCTTGAACGCTGGAAGGAACACTTTGAGGAACACTTTAACTTGCCTACAGCCACACTGAGCCTCCCCGCCATCCAGCACACACCCGAATGGGACATAGACACTGGCCCGTCGTCTGTAAGTGAGGTCACAAAAGCTATCTGTAATTTGAAACGAGGCAAAGCGGCAGGACCCGACGGAATTATTCCGGAGGTGTTTAAATATGGGGGTGACATACTAGTATATAGTTTAACTAAGGTACTAGGTAACGTTTGGGAATCAGACACGGTTCCATCAGATTGGGGTAAGTCACTTATTATACCAATATTCAAGAAGGGAGACAAGTCCTCATGTGATAATGATAGAGGAATCAGCCTAACGAACATAGTCTCTAAAATCCTAGGCTCAGTAGTCATGCACAGACTAAGCCGAACTCGGGAGGAACAAACGAGGGAAAATCAAGCGGGCTTTAGGCCAGGTAGAGGGTGCATAGATCATATCTTCACTCTCCGACAGATCCTAGAACATTGACACACTTTTAGGTGTCCAACAATTGCCATATTTCTTGACTTGAAGGCGGCCTTCGACTCCGTGGATCGAGAGGTACTATGGCAATGTTTGACTGTGAAGGGAGTGCCAAGAAAGTACATTGCACTAATCAAGGCACTCTACACAAACTCACGTAGCTATGTAAGGGCTTATGGGGAATTGTCATCTGAATTGATAACAACCAGTGGTGTCCGTCAAGGATGTCCACTTTCCCCTTTTCTGTTTAACTTCATCATAGATATGCTAATGGAAGTATCCTTAACTGAACTTAACGACTTAGGAATCGACTTGTTACCAGGGAATAGTCTTATGGACTTAGAATATGCAGACGACATAGTCCTGTTAGGGGAGGATGTTGACAAAATGCAGAGTCTTCTGAACACCTTGAGCAGCAATCTTCGTATGTTTGGCATGCGATTCGCCCCTGTAAAATGTAAGATGCTGTTACAGGACTGGACTACGTCAACTCCTAGCTTAGTGATAGGGAGTGAAGTGATAGAACATGTTGACCACTTCACCTATTTGGGAAGTTGTATCAGCACCAACGGATTGATTCGTGACGATATCTCAGCACGGATCCAAAAAGTTCGGGCTGCTTTCGCTAACTTACACCATCTCTGGCGTAGGCGTGACATCCGGCTATCAACCAAGGGACGTGTGTACTGCTCAGCAGTTCGCTCCGTCCTTCTCTATGGTGGTGAGACGTGGCCATTGAGAGCGGAAGACATGAAAAGGTTGACTGTTTTTGACCACAGATGTTTACGATCTCTTTCTCGCGTTAGGTGGTATAATAAAGTAAGTAATATTGACGTTAGGCGTAGAGTGTTGGGCAAAGAGGGAAAATCAATCGAAGAGGCTATAAAGTTACATAGATTGAGATGGCTAGGTCACGTGCTGCGCATGCCTAACCATCGCCTCCCCCGACAGGCATTACTAGCTGATATAGGTGCAGGTTGGAAAAGAGTAAGTGGTGGCCAAACAAAAACATGGCATCAATCCATGAAATCCCTGACAGTTAAACTGAGTCAGGTAGGGAGATGCAGACTTCCGGGTTGGGGCCCTCGGGACTCTAAGAATCAATGGCTGGAGACAATAGGTGACATGGCTCAAAATCGTTGTCAATGGCGCAGATGTATTCAGTCTCTGTAATCTTTCATATTCCTTTCTACCATTACTCATTCTGTTTCACTCTTATACTTGTCGAAACTCTATTGATTCTCTTCACTCATTTTCTTGTCTACCTTTGTGTGCTCTTTGGAACTTGGCAACTAGAACTGCTGCACTTCGGTGCCAAGTTCTATGTTGAATCCAGCCAGCCAATTCACTATGTAGCGCAACTGACACTCGTCAATTTCATCGCTGGCGAGTATTTGTCCTCACATCCGACCTGCTGTACCCCGCTGGTCTGTATGTGCGTATGTACGTTTCAGCGTCCTTATGGGTTAACTTAAGCTTAATTAAACGTTTCACATCCCACAGACGTCAACACCACACCGCTAATTTTGAAAGCTCACAATCCAAAAAAGGGTGGACAGAATTGTACTCATGACAGAAAAGATGTTGAGTGAAGTGTAATGATACTATTCAGGATAACTGGTTAGTTGTATGTTAAATTAGTGAAATATTAAGGTTAGGCTTTGGTTTAAGAACAGATTAAGGTTAATTGGACGTAATTAGGAGAAATATTGCGGTTGGTTAGGCAGAAATTGGGGTTTACTTAAAGAAAGATTATGGTAAAGGACTCAAATTCTCCTGTTTTCGGCACAGTTGTTCGTTCTCCGCCTCTTGAGTGCGTAAAAGTTGAACTTTGCCTTGACTCAGTATTTGCTCTTCTCTGTCTGTTCTTGTATTCTCCAGGGTGCTTTTTACAACATGTTGACGTTAATCTATAAAGAATATCAAAATGTGAAATCCCAAAGAAAAGCTCAATTAGAAAGTAAGAAGCAATTCATGCTGACATCAATCAATCAAGTTTCAAATGAATTATTGGCTAAAATTGATGAAAATGTTTCAAAGGTAATGAAAGTGTTTTTTTTTTTTACTTTAATACCTCATTATCCTATGTGTCAGAAAAAACTGAGATTACCGAACAAAGATTATTGTCTTCGATAATTTCATTTTCCCCTTTGTCAGGTTCTGCAGTTTTATATCCATAATAATTGAAGAAATGTTATTACTAACGATATTGATGTTTTACCTAAATAAAATCGACTGAACCACTAAGTCCAGTTAGATTACAGTTCAAAAGTATCTGTGAGTAATGGTATCAGATCAATCTCAGTAAACTAAGACAGACTTTTTTGAATTTACAGTATTCCACTGCAGGCCAGAGTGTCAATAATGGCTCGACCTTTTACTTTCACACACAGAATTCTGGCTATTTTAAGCGAGTTGCTATGACCTCTCGGTTTTTTCGTGTATTTAGTAACTGGAAGCTTTTGGAAATTTGTTTGGTACTCGATAGATGGTAGAAAACGATTCTCCAATGCTGGCCCTTTGCCCTATTTGGAGCAGGTGGTCCCATATCAAACCGTTGATGATTTTTACTACACCTTTATTTAATCACACTGGTAGGTGTTCCTAATCATAAAAGACTAAGTTCTTTAATTTATTTTGTACATATAAATGTCGAATATGATGAATAGCACGACATGGAAAGAAACTCTTCTTTGTCGACTAATTTCAGTCTTTTATTATCGTTTTTAATTCGTTTTCTCTAGGCCTACATAAATCAACATCGATTAAATAGTGAATTCAAAGAGTTAGTCTCACAATTACACATTTATCAGAATCATGTTAACCTGTGGTTGAAAATGATATCGGATATACGGAGTACACTGAAGGAATTAGGCGATGTTGAATGTTGGTCAATGAAAATGGAAGAAGATGCAATGCTGATTGACCATTGTTTACAAACAGTTCTTAGTCGTTACTAAAAATTCTAGAAGACTAACGCTGATTTTAAGATCATGCTAGTTTGCCGCCGATTTTTGCGTTTCAAGCATCTAATGACAGTCGAATCCTCTTGGCCTTGCGTTTATAAATTTAAGCCAGACGTTTGTGTAAGAAAAATGTACATACAGCACTCCGTATTTCTACCTTTTCCATAAAGTGATAAACATTTATTTAATTATTTATCGTTTTGTTTGTTTATCTAGTCTGTGTACCTTTCTTCCTGTTATTACGATTACTATTGCTTTTGCGTTTTTCACTTTGGATATTTTTCGGGTATTATTCCACCTATTCTCCTTAATTAATTAATTCAATCCCCTCACCCTCTTTCTCTCACACACCTCTCTCTGTATATATATGTATGTATATATGTATGCTGTTGGTTTTTCCAAGATGTATACATTCTGTCAGGTATTTTATATAATATATAACCTGTTTTGAACTATGATTTTAATGACATACATTTTATCACTTTTAACAGTATTATTATTGTGAGTCTTCACACGCCTTTTGTATCAATTTCCCCACGTGATTTACGTAGTTCCTCAAAAACCATGCATGTATATATGATTATACAGCTTTATAGTAAATTGATTGGATAAAGGGTCTCTTCACTGAATGATTTTTTTTGCTAATGTTACATACCAACATGGAAATTACTAAATCATTGCGTATTTCTAAAGTTTTCTATTCGCTGCATTTATCGTGATATTAGTTACACTAAAGTTAGGGGATTGGTAAATCACCACGGCTTCCTTTAAGTATTAAATAGATTCAGATCACAATATGCGTGATCTGTTTGATGTGCGATAAATGTTCAATCAAGAAACAAACCACTTAGTAATAAGAATACCATTATTCTTTTGGATTCTCAGTGGAACATAGGTTTTCTCCCATCCTCTGCAGTCCTCTTCAGTTGACTCGACAATTTCCCATAGTCTCTCATTTCCTCCTCGCACAATCTCCTCCATGTCACTCTTGGACACCCAACTCGCTGTTCCCCACTCGGGTCCCACTCGATGGTCTCCTCAGCGTGTGTCCGGTTTATCTCCATTTGTTGAGCAATAGGTTCTTGATTGGTTCGTTCCTAGGTTTCCTTGTTGTTTATCCTTTCTGGTCATTTGACCCTCAGTATTGAGTTAGCGAAGGAGACAGATGTTTTCCTTGACGTGTGTGTCAAGTTTCTCAACCACAAAGAAGTATGGAGTGACTTAACACTGTAGTCGAAAATCCGAATCCTGTTCTTTATGCTGAATGCAGTAGATTTCCACACTGATTGATTTCACAGTGATGAATGTCTTCCTTGACTTAGCGAATCTGGTTTGTTTTGACACTCTCATCCATACCTCTGTCTATAGTTGAGTTGGCGCTGCCCATATAGTTGAAAGAAGTGACCCCTTTCGAATTTCTCCCGTCGATAGTGGTTGATGCTTATTTTTGTTGGTTGCTTGAGTATCTTCATCACCCCTGTCTTTTCTGTTTTCTCTTCATCCCTTGTCCTTACGGCCAGCGCCGTCTGCTAACTTGTTGGTTTTCGCCTGCTCATCTTCTTCTGGTTTGTGTGACACCAAACATAAATCGTCCGCGAGATCCGGATTTTCTAGGGTCTTCTTATCTGTCCAACGTATTCCTGCTATATCGCTCCCCACAGTCTGCGACATGATACAGCCCACCACAATCGGGAATATCATTGGTGGTAGTATGCAGCCTTGTCTTACTTCTGTCTTCACATCAAAGGCTTCGTTGAGTTTTTTTGTTGTGAATCACTTGGCACGCGACATTGTTGAATGTTGATGAAGGTTGGGTTTGCTGCACTCCATAGTGTTGAGGTAGTCTCCAAATTACTTCGCCATCAACTTTGTTGAAGGCTTTTTCCAAGTCGATGAAGTTGAGGTAGAGATTTGACTGCCACTCTATAGTCTTTTGCATGATGTTGCTTGCGTTGCATTTCGATCCACACATGATTTACCTTTCCTGAAATCAACTTGTTCCGAATGGAGTTTGGCATGCAGAGCATCTTTTGGTCTCCAGGATTGGTATCTCCTGGCAGACAGTTCTGTGCGTGCTGTTGCTGGCATTTCTGACCGAGTTTCAGGTGATGGTTGTCTTGGGAATCTTTTGAAGTGTTCAACCTACTGTTTCCTTCGCTTCTCCTTTGTGATAATTAGGTTCGCTTCACTATCTATGGCTTCATCTGGGCGATTGTTTTCTCGGATAGATACCTGGTTATCTGGTATGATGTTCTGAGGTCTCTTTTACCTGCGGCCTGTATAGTCTGCTTCATACACCGGCCATTGTGTCGTAGAATTGTCTTTTGTCTTTCCTAGCACTTTTCTTCATTTCTTTATGTCAAGGAAATTCCCCGTCTCTATTCTTATTCTTGCTTTCATTGAAAGAAGACACATCAGCTGGCTGACTGGCTTCCCGAATGCAGGCTTTCACCAGCCCGTGGCGTCATTTCGCCTCTCTGATTCCAGCAAAGAATAATTTTATTTTTTGAATTATCTATATAGGTTTCTGGGATCATTTCTCGGTATCAGATAGCCGGTTTCACTGTTCAGGTTGTAATCTACACGGTTGTCTGCCCTTGGCTTGTATACCGAAGTAGTGACCGATGCTGTCACGCTAGGCTTAGAAGTCCAACTTACCACATGAAAATGAGAACCAAGTTCTGATACAACAGCCAAAACCTTGACAAGTTGAGGGAGAAATTATTCGACGAACTGCTGCACAATACTAATGAGATAGACCCTTACGTGACTGTAAGCAGAGAACAGAAGTCCTCTAATCCATCCGTCTGATCTGAAAATCTCCATCCAGCGACTCACTTGCCTCAGATGACCCTCTCAAAATGGAGTCTAAAGTAAGATGATCAATAAACAAACAAGAGACTTCACTGCCCATGCAAGAAAATAACAAAGCATTATGCACACAATAAAATATTGGGGTTTGTTGTGTAGTAGGTTTTATGTGGTAGGGCCGCTAGCTCCACACCCAGCCTTCCCCCTTTTCTCCAGGTCAGGACTGGCTGGTAAGTTAGTGAACTGATTAATAAGGCAGCATCACAGAGATGCCCCATTGGTGGTTATTCGACGGTCGAATTATGTAAAGATTTAGCATGTGTTAGGACGTTTTTAATCGACTGTTGACAAGTATTCGAAGCTTAATTTTCCTGTAGGGTCATTCAACACAGAACGCTATAGTCACTCATAGTTGGTGACTAGTGAGTGAATTCAAAGGATGAGATGAGGAACTAATTTTGAAATATGTCTTTTTATGATTTGTAAGGCTTTTTGTAGCTATTGAACGATATTGAGTGATGGATGCTCTTCCATTTGTTTCATTAGGTTTCCCCACTTCTCTTACCCACCATTGTGCTTTCAAAAATAAAAGTTCAAACCGCACTATTGTTTTCTCCAACAATACACACTTGGTCGATAGTATGGGCAATTAATTTGATTGAAGAATCAGTCACTAAAGCCTCTTGAATAATTTAGCATGCATACACAACAATGCTATGCATGGCGTAGCAACCACAGGACAATTTTTGACTTCTTAAGCACTGTAACTAGCTCCTGATAAGCCAAATGGTTAGCCAAAAATGAAATTGGTCACTGGAGAATGTTGATGGCTGCGTAAGGTATTCTGTATACAAACACTAGTGTTTATCCTGCAACTCCCAAAGTACTTGTTCCACTGGGGTCAGAGGCAAATCCAAACATCAAATTGATAGTTCAAAATTACGAGATATTTTTCGACCCTCGAGACCTAGAGCGATGATGACTACTCCTTAACTGACCAAGATGCGTGCATGAATGCAACATGACGGCGTGCTAATGTGACCTGAATGCTTGACTGAGTAAGTTCAACTGCGTTAGTTGACTTAAACAGTGACGGTTAGCATTCAGTGTTGAATGAAGAATGCTGTAGACTAATAATTTTAGGCCCCATCTTTTGGAGTCGACTGTCATATTATCGATGTTTCAGTCTTGTAACAGTTGCACTTGCACCTTAAATTAAATTCCCAAATTAATTTGCATTGAAATTAAGGTGTTACCAGTCGACCCAAGGAACTAGCTAGCCGAAAGTTGGGTGATTTGAACTGATTTGACTATTTCAGCTGAGTCAAAAAGGACATGTGGTGAGAGCTGTCTACTATCCAAATTGGTAGACAGTAATTTACGTCAATATTTACGTTCTCAAGATTTGTCGTGAGAAACAACCAATCGGAAGACTGTGTTTGTTTGTTTACATATCCATAGTAATGTACATGAAAACATATATAAATATGCGTTGATTTCCCTAATAAATGATCTGTTGCCTGACTCTTGCCTTCTGTCGTTACAGACACACCGCTGAAGAGTTCGGTCCCAAACGAACAAAACGGCCCTGCAGTGTTTTGATCACTTTGATGATCTGACTGTCAAGTACTACTAGTTAATATTTGAGTGTTATCTGACTACTTATCTCAATCAGTGAGAAGTGTGTGGTTTTGTGCAAATGCTCTCTAAGACATTGACAACTCTATTGAGGCATTGTAATGCAGTGACACTGTGAACTTCTAAGCCTGGTGTTAATTATTATTATTCTTTCCTTGCACTGTGGAGGGAACGTAAAGATTAAGCAGCACATTTCCATGTCACACTGTTGTCTGCCGTCAGTCTTAGCTGACTCAACTATTGTTGTTTGTTGCTACTAAATCGTCTACTTATTGTATGTCCAATCCATCTTCATTTCTTTCTGCATATTTATTTGACGATTTGTTGATGGTTGGTTGTCAAAGTTCCCCGTTGCTTCCTTATCCTTTCTGGCCATCTGATCTTCAGTACTGGGGAAAGGTAGCTGTTGATGAAAATCTGCAGAATGTTGGGAATACTTATCTTGACGTGCTCACGTAGTCTTAGAACCGTATGGAAGTACTTACTTGGCGTTCGTGGTTAGTGTTCAGATTTTGCTTCTTATGCTGAGTGTAGTAGATTGGCGA